AAAAAAAAAAAAAAAAAAAAAAAAAAAAAAAAAGAAAGAGGTAAAACAGTCAGTTGAAAATTTTGTAGGATGACAAATTTAACAGTAACTAATTGCACATCAAAAATATACTTAACTTAGACAACTACTTCCGCAATTAGAATACCTAGCATTCAATATTAACAGACTTTTTGCTCAGTTATTTACCTTCACCAGCCGACACTTCAGCATCGAATCAGTGAAGCCGAGTAAACAATTTTGACATTGGTCAACAAACGATGACAACTAAGATTCACTGATGACATAACAATTCCTTAATGATTCCTGTCATCACTAGATGAAGATTGCTGTAAAACTGTGACAAATTTAGATTTCGCTTCAATCGATGTCAATAGATGAATTTTTTTTTTTCTTTCCACTTTTTTTACCGCTGACAGTACTGCGTATCAGAATCTGCTATCTAAACTACTGTCGGTGTGTGTTATTTGGGTTTGTATATTTGAAAAATTTTGTCGAATCGTGATCATTATTAGTTCACTTAACAGTTGCACTGTTAATTGAGCTTTACATCATCTGGCATTCTGTTTCTGATTATCAACAGTTATTTCAAATAAACTTAAATTTTTTGCTGTATAAAACTTTAAAATGTAATCGGTAAGGAACTTTGGGCAACAAATCGTTAAATATTTTACAGTAGAAATGTCGATTAATTTTCCTTTCATCTATACTAAACATTAATAGTAAATAACAGTAGCTGGAAATCTTTAGTGTAATTAATGTTAAATTATTTTAAAAATAAAAAATTTAACTACAATAATTTATATATTTTTTGTAGTTTTTTCTCTTTTATTTAAAATAAAATATTAAGTAGCAGTGAATATAACAAACATAAGACAAAATAAGTTGTTTTTTAAAATGTGAAAACAGAGAGTAGAATTTTCATTGAGAATACTTGACGGTTTGTAGAGATACGTTGAAATAGGGTCATTTTGATGAAGACATTAACGACAATTTTGCGAGTTCGCCAATATGCTTTTTTTAAACACTGCCATTGGAATCTTTTTTTCTTTGATTTCTTTTTTCTACAAAAGTAGTGTTTCGGAGAATAAAGTTTTGTTGAAAATGCTTGTTAAACAATGTTAATTTGTTTTTGCAACTGCGATGGATGTAGTAATTGTCTAAAAACTTTGTGGTATTTTAAGGAATACGTTAAATTAAATGATGAATTTTTGAAAGAAATAAGGGAAGACACTAAATAATTGAGCAATTACTACAGCTGATCATGAAGATTTTGGCTCTGCAAATTTAGCGGAATTTTCTGTTTCTGTTTATAGGCATTGCAAATTTTGTGGCAGAATTTGAAGTATCTTTTTGAAGCTTTTTTCAGAAAATTTTGCTGGTGTTGAATAAAATCTCTTCAATTTTAGGAAATAAAACTGTTCCCAAATTGATGATCATCTCTCTCCAATTTTACTGCCTGTTTAAAGAGCAAACGAAATGTTCACTACTAATCTGCACTAACAGCGATACAGTTGAACTTTGTTTCAATAAAACTCTGTGATATATGCAATTCTGCTGGAGTAAAGTTGGTAGGCGGTATAGCAGTGTTAAAGATACTTGTAAGCAATTTAAAATAAATTATATAAATTAAATTTGATTAAGTTTTTTTCTAAAACCTTCAAAATGAAACACCTAATGACTGTTGAAGAAGTAGTTTTTAAAGTTTTCGGATAAAATATCACTGTTCTAAAATATTTCTAAACTTTTCATATCTGCATTTGACCTTTTTTTAAGTTTATAATTTTGTTAATAAAAAAAATCGACAGGGAACAACATAAACAAGATGCGGGAAAAGAAAGGAATAACTTCAAAAAGTAAATTTTTTTGTTGCTGGTATCAGTTATTGACGTATAGACCGGCCAGAAATGGACAATAATAATTATTATTGTAGCTGTTGTAACTGTTGCCTATAATCTCACAATGGCCAACTGTTACTTTTGTCCAAAATCTGCATTGGTTTTGTTTATCCTCAGTAAAAACTGCTCTAATTACCTTTATAATTATTTCACATATGCGCTCTGTACATCTAAATAATGCTTTTTCAGTTTGGTATATGTATCATATTTGGTAAACTAACCACATCTTTTAATTTCAACAAAAAATTTAGGAAATTTTTTAGTTGTTCAAGATATTTAAGGCAATAAATGGCTTATAAAAAAGTAGAAAAAAATTTTTTATTTATTAATTTTAATTGCCCTATTTGTACTATTGAAAGGCTTTGATTATTATACCTTTTACTATCAGTAATTAATAAAAATATTGCAAATTATAAGTTTTTATTTTATTTGTTTTTTTTTTTCTTTATCGTAATATTACTATAGTAAAATAGAAATTCTTTTCTAATCTACTGCTTCTTTTTATTACTGAAAACTCTACTAACATCAAGTGCAGTAAATGACGATTGAAATTTACATTCTATTTTCAAAAAATTATCGTTAACTCTTCAAGAATTCAAACATTATTTGTCTATTTTGTCTTTTATTTTTTTACTATATTCGAAATAGAGATATGAAAATTTGTAATAAAATTAAATAAAAATTTTTTAATTTTGTTTTTATTGTGCTTATGTATAAGAACAAGTATAGCGTAACCGAAAAACTGGAGTAAAGAGTTAGTCGTTTTGTGATATAAAAAAATAATTCTTAACAACTTTCGTAGCGTAATTTATAATGTTTGTTTTTTTTTTCGACTTACAATAAAGCTAAATCTTTACCAACACTCAAGATGATCGGTACCAATACAACAATGGTCAAGAAGTTAAAAGATCCAGTACCTATAATGGCACACAGTTATCCTGTGGAAAAGCAAACGTTTATGCCGATACCAATTCAAATTCCACGAGAAATGGAATTTGCCGGTCGTAGGTTCAGTTTTGACGCCGGCTATATGAAAACACAACGCGGTCTTCTAAAGATTACTCAAATTGTAAGTGCAGTCAAATTTACCAATTGTGAAGCATAATTTATTCAAAAATTAGGTCTTTCAACAGAAACTGACATGTCACATTTGTTCTGCTAATAACAGTTACTCTAGGTCGCTCATTTTCTTTTGATAATTGAGTTTATTATGAAAAAAAGTTCTAAAAAAGCAAAGGATATTGAACTTGAAGAAATTTTTTGCACAGCAGTAAATGCGGGAAGTTATAAGTTTTTCTGGTTCTTCTTTTGGTTATAGTTGTTGACTTTATGATTGGTTCAGAATGCTTTTGAAAAAGTTCTGTTTTTTTCAATTTTTTTTGCTCAAACTGATGCATGTTATCACAAAAAATTAAAATACCTAGATCTTATTTATTGATTCACCTAAAAATTAGAGATTATTAAAACAATTTTGTCGCTTTTACTCATCAAGAGGAGTGTGTTTTAAATAAGAATTTTATTCCTTCTAGCATTTATTTTAAAAGCGTTGAACTATCTTCAGCAGGGAAGTTAAACGTAGGTTGGAAAGTTCACACACGTAAATTTGAAAATGATTTTTTACTACATTTTACTAGTGCTTTAATAGTGTCAATCAAAAACTTCTATATTTTTTAAAAATACTTTTCAAATAGATGTCAGAGTGCTGTGTTGCACAATTTGCTTTGCTCTTCCTTATATTTTGTCAACGGTATAGATGATTTCTTTTGTTGACCGATAACAACAATTATTTTGTTCGTTGCTGTAATTAACTTTTAGGCATTTATGCAGCATAATAGCCAACAGCTTCAGATTATAATTTCTCCACTGTAGTGATTTTTTTGTGTGTAACATTAAAAATTGCCTTTTTTCTGTAGTATTTAATGACCTAGACTATTAAACTGGCAGAAAAACACTAAGTAAAATTTTGGGAATCAACGATGTTTGACAGTTTCTTTGCAAAATACAGCATTTTTTATTTACATATTCGTTATAGAAATTCCTTACAAATATCAATAATTCTGTTTTCAGATGGCCTGCTTTATAGCAATGATGTTAACCGGATCATCGCTTGGCGTGCAGGGCGAAAGAGCCTGGTCATTGGCAGTAACGTTCACTGGATTTTGTGTGAACTTCTTTATTCTCACAGCCAACATTTTCACTTTGAACACCAGATTTGATCCATTTCGATGGTTTCTTGTTGTAAGCAATTACAGACAATTTTTCAAATTAAAAAATTACATCAAGCATTTTAATTAGAGACGTTGCTGAAAGCGAATGTTATCAAAGTAATAAAGAAAGTTAACGATAGAGGAAATAAAAACAAGTTGTTTTAGAATAATATTCTTTTAATGTTTTCTTATTTTACAAATAGAGTCTCGTTTTTACAAAAACTGATAATTAATAAAAAAATATTTTCAAAAACTTCTTTTTCTTAGATACAGCAAAAATTAGAAGTTCCTGTAAGTGTTGTCTAAAGATAATATTCTTGAATCATTTCTGCTTCAGGAAGTCACTTATTACATTATCGAAACTATGGCCCTATTCTTTGCCGGTCTTTTTATGGCAGTATTTTGCGTAGCATTTTGGGCACAACATAATGCAAAATTTAAAATGCTTCCAACTTTAGCGTCGGTATGAACTCATTACTCTATTTGTTTCTATTATTCAATTCTTGAGCGGGTAACGACTGTTAGAGCAGTAGAGTCACGCAATGACAATAACAATTAGTAAAAGCAGCCCAACAATATTTGTTATATATACAAATTTTTTTGAGTTTTTCAACAAAAAGTTTTGGGGAAAAAATATATGATGCAATATATTTACAAAAAGACTTCATTTATTTTTCACACGTTAAAGTAACAAACGGAAAAAATGCATAAATTGCAGTCTAAAGCTCACACCTTGCAGGGAACGTTGTTTGTATGTACAGCACTGTATGCAAGTGAACTTTGTATTCAAATTGCACAATGGAGGCGATGGTCATGGAACCCAACTCCAGCTCCCCCCCCGTCAGTGAAACAAAACACTGCCACTGACGAATATCCTAGGTTTTGAAAAATAATCTTGACTTTCACTTACTATTCTCCAACCTTCCTACTATTACTCATTTTAATAATTTTTTTGTTTAATTTTGTTTGTTTACCAAATTTTTCATTTCAAATTCTCCTTTAAAAGTAGTTGATTTTAAGCAATTGCATGACGAACTGTCCAAGCATTTCAGAGTACTACTAGCAACCTATATCCAGCGTAAGCAGTGACCCATAATAAAATTTCAACTAGCTTTTCATTATTGCAGTCTAGTCAAGTAAGCTTAGAAAATGCGTTTTTGTATAACAGACTCGGTAAAACTGTAGGAAGAAAAACACGAAGTCAGAATAGTCATTTCTGAAATATACAACTACACACAAATTAATAATTAATCTGCTATTTATTAAGACTAGAAAGAATGATGTTTGGTTACTATAGTAGTTATAATAATTAGCAAAACTTCTTTACTCTTATTTTTTTTGTCTCAGTCAGCATTGCTTCGTAATCAAGTGAGCCAAAGAAATTGCTAGACAACCGCAAAACTGCTAACAGCCGAAAGTTAGTTGAAGTTCATCATTTTCTTCTAGCCCCGATTGTTTGTAGAGGAAAAGTGCAGAAAAATCAAAGACAGGTATCAACGAGCAATAATATTTACATCACTAAATTTACGAGGGTTGTCATTTCGTTCCACGTTTCTGACCGGATCTGTTATGCAGTGATAATCTGGTCCTCCCCCGTGTGCCAATTCATCATGCTTCCAACTTAGAAACTTCAGAAAACAATCGAATCCATAAGTTGCCATAGCTCCAAATGCACATAACTGTAATTTTATTTAGAAAAATATTACCAGAGGTTAAAGATTGGTTAAAATACATCTTAATTCAAAGTCTTTCTCCTTCAAAAAATATCATTACATCTCATATGTATTCAATTATGAATTTTAAATTTTGCTTTATTCTTCTTCTTGCTCAGCACCTTTTTGTTTTGCTTATTATACAACGACCATCATCTCAGAAGCTCGAAAAACTGCTTTTTTTAGTTTTTTCATAAAAACTGGCTCTTTATTGATATTTCAAATAAATAGATTTGTCAACTTTTTAATATTTCAAAAGCCCAACAAAGGAAAAAGTTAAAAGAAAGTTCTTTAAACCCTATACCGCAGCAAACCCGAAACCCAAATGGCCGTATGATGATGAAGCAATAGCCAAAACACTTCCGACGATAAAGTAGAATATAGCCCAGCTAAAGCAAAATATCATTTCCTGAAATAAGCAAATAATTTTTCAGGTTTTTAAAAATACGATAAATTGAACAGCCAATATCCCTTCAAGAGTTATTAAGCCTTACAACAGCAAAAAAATTTTGCAGTTGACCAACCGAAACAATCCAGGGTATCTGACTGAGCAGATCAACAGCATGGAACAAGTACAGTATGAGAAGTGTTAAAGATACAGTAATGGCGGTACTAGTCACTATTAACGACCAAAACGTTCCAGAAAAATATGCAGTTCTGCCAGCAGAAATTAGCGTTATAAAACAAAAAATGTCCAAAATCTATAAATTAATAATGTTAGATTAGTTGAGCAAATTACAAATTTTCTACTACTTTATGTTATTCAGAAGAACATCATAATCGGAGCTAATTCTGTCATTATTATCGGAGAAGCATTAGTTTTTATCACAAATACGAAATGTTTCCAAATTACAAACGTTCTAGATCTTAAAACTTCATTTTAGCTGTTCTCAATTTCTAACTGCCCAAAACTTACTTTATTGTACAGCAACCAAACAGAAGTTAATAAATAAGTAAACATGAATAAAAAGCAATTGAATTAGTCACTTACTATGGCTATACATTTAACAATTCCAGATAGCGTCTTCAAGTAGTCGAAATCAAGTTGAAGAAAGTGAGGTACAATTTCTGTTCTCTGGTCATACTGGTAAGTAGTAGGTGTAGCTGTCGAGGTTGTAGTATGAACTAAACGACTGTCGTTAGATGTATCCGCGTCGGCCATCTGAAATAGCTTAACGCTCAGCCTAACACCTTTTCGTACCTCTTATTACCAATGATTCAAAGTAAATTACTACCCATAACTTAGTCTCAATTATCAAGACCCTTTGAAACGTATTTTTTAAGAATGTAAGGTGGAAAATGCTGGATTCACTAGAGAAGCTATGGCATGTGACTTTTCAAAGATATTATAATCATTTAACAGTTACTAAAAAACATTAGCAGGGGCTAGTTTATCAAATCAATATCAAACTTCACGGCTCCTTTACGGTTTCCTTACCATAAAGCAGCCTGTCTGATAACCGCTGCGATTAGCCTAGAGAAAGTGAACACAAAAAAAAATTCTGTTCAACTTTGAATGGTTTTTGAAATTGAACAAATTTTTTTTTTGTGTTCACTTCCTCTAGGCTAATCGCAGCGGTTACCAGACAGGCTGCTTTATGGGAAAGGAACCGTAAAGAAGCCGTAAAGTTTGATATTGATTTTGGCGATTTAGCCTCTACTGATGTTTTTTAGTAAATAGTTTTTGAAGTTTTCTGAGCAGGTTACAGTTTCATTAGATAAAATTAAACAATTTTTCTACTAAATATGACCGTAACAAAAGTAAATTTACTGTTCACCAGAACGTGTTTATGAAATGTGCGCTACAGCAATCAGTCAGTTAAAATTTTAATAAAATGTTGCAGTACTTACTGTTTATTACCCTTAACTGTTCTGTTTCAAAAATTTCACCTAAAAACAAGTGGCTTAGGCTTAGAATCAAAGACTGACACTACGGTCTTATCAATCAAAAAAACGCTGCCTGATCAAAAAATGAAAATTAAGAAAATCTGCAAAGAACTTTTTTTTTGCTTTTTTCACCGGTGTAAAATTACCATAACGTCTTAAAAAGAAGTTTATTGAAGTTTAAATATCGGCGCCCAGAGAAAGACAAATGTCAGAACATTTAGACAGTAAACTAAGAAATTAAAGTGATCCTTACTGTTTTCTATAACCGGAGAAGAAATAAAGCTATATGTACTTTTTGTTCACAAAAAGCAGTACATAAAGTCCAAAGTTTCGGCTTGGTTATCCAAAAAAATTTTTTAAGAAAAACAAAACCAGTTGCCTCTTCCGTAGCAGCATTTAAAAGCAATGGCAAAGAGAAGACAAAGGAACAACAGAAGACCATCCGCTGTCTAAAAAAACCAAATTCAGAACACTAGAAAATTTCAAAACAAATTTAATTACTCTTGTGTCATCAAAAGAATTCTCTACGAGTTTTAGCAAACTAAAGCTTATATTGCTTAACCAAATGTTTAGTACAAAAAAAACTAACATATCCATTTAATGACTTGTAGTAAGTTTTACAGACAATCACAACTACATAAAGTTTAAGGCATATTTAGTATAAAAATTTAAAATATATTTAGTAAGAGAATTATATCCAAAGATACTTGCTGCATATAACTAACTTCAAGCG